GAGTCAACTTGACTGGGCCAGGGGTGCCTGGACACTCGGGGTACAAGGTGAATGCATGAGGCACATCATCCGCACACTGGAGAAAGTTTGGAAAATCCCAAAGTTCTGAGAAGTAGCCCTTTGTGTCTCCTTAGGAATTTTTCTACCTAGATGCTGCCTTTTTAAGAGAAGGCAGCAGGCTGTGGCACCACGAGTTGCTCTCGTTCAAGCCCCGTGTGACCAGGTGCAGATGGGAAATAGCTCCCCAGAGGGCAGAGGGTAAGGTGTCTTCTCCATGCCGGGGAGGGGTCTAGACTTTCGGGCTCCTCTCTTCCCAGAGCCTCAGGGATTCGTGCTCAGACACAAGGCCCGCCTGTTCTTCCCTCAGAACACCTTCATTGGGAGGCTGTGTGTATGTTTTCGGAGCTGTGTCTCTTCCCTCGCTCTCTGAACAAGCTGGACATTGTCCGAGTTGCAGGAGTGCTCTGTGGGGCTTGGACGCTCTGTTTCTCTCCCTGGCCTAGACCAGGAAATGGGAAGGAATGAAAAGAGGTGGGGCGGGGGGTGGGGGAGAGGATAGGGGTGGAGTGGGCAGAGAAACTAATTTTATTTCTTTTTTTTTTTTTTAAAGACAAACTTTGGGATAGAAATATCGCAATAAATATGCTCTTGTGTTTGTGCGTGTTTTCTCAGCTGTAAAGAAAATAGGGAGAAATTCCATTCTGTCTGGCTTCCAAGTGTCTCTAGGACTCACTGAGCCTTTTATGCGAGGAGACTGATTTGCCAGCCCCTAGTCCCAGCACGCCCTGTCAACAGGGAGGCCTTTCTCCATGGGAAGCAGAATTAGGTGCTGGCAGGGGGAATGCATAGGTGAGGCAGAGGAAGGGTATGGGGAGCCTGAAATGAAGTGGAGAGGGGAGATTGGGGAGCTAGAAGGGGATGCCAGGTGAGAGCCATGTGGGTTGAGTTCATCATCACGAAACTGACTTTCTTGGAAGAATTATATAGAGATTTGGTAGGGGAAAGTGAGGTGCTTTTAGCCTAAGCTGAGGCTGTGTGTCAGTGTGAGCATGCATGCATGTGTCCACAGCTGGAGACAAGGAAACCCTTTACCTCCTCATCAGTCAGACTCTACCCCTCTAACCCACAGTTGTCTACCTGGCCAAAGTCTTGGCCTGGATTCCATCAAATTATGGGGTTCAACAGGCAGCTCATCCACTCATCCTAAATTCCTCTTCCAGCAACATGCCCAGTGGGGACCCCTCCTTGACCTGGGTGGACCTCTACTGCTTAATAATCTGGGACCTGCCCCACGACTGTTTCTAAGACTGAGTGAGATAATTGTGAAAGCCATCATCCCTCCTCCAGGCCCGACACTGTTTTTTGGCTCTGCACCCAGCACGGAGTCTGGCACTCAGCAAGCACCCACCAGTGCAACTTTCCTCCCACCTCCCTGGTTGGCAGGCCTGAGTGAGCCTCTTAGAACCGGGAGATTGGAAGAGAGTTTAGTGGTTGTAGAGAGGCTTCCTGTCCCAGGATGAGGGTTGATCTAGATAACTTTCCATACGGAATAAAACTGCGTTGGTTTCAAAAATATTTCCACACTACCAAACATTTGAAAAATAGGACAATGGGGAAAAAATGACCATCATCCACAATCTAATTCAATCATTATTAGTGTTTTGATGGTTTGTCTTCTAGTTTTTTTGTTTGTTTGTTTGTTTTTTGAGACGGAGTCTAGCTCTGTCGCCCAGGCTTCAGTGCAGGAGCACAATCTCAGCTCACTGCAACCTCTGCCGCCTGGGTTCAGGCAATTCTCCTGCCTCAGCCACTGAGTAGCTGGGACTACAGGTGTGTGCCACCATCCCTCACTAATTTTTGTATTTTTTGGTAGAGACGGGGTTTCACCATGTTGGGCAGGCTGGTCTCGAGCTCCTGTCCTCAAGTGATCCACTCACTTTGGCCTCCCATAGTGCTGGGATTACAGGCATGAGCCACCGCACCTGGTCATTGTAGTCTTTTTTTTTTTTTTAAAGCATCTACTTGTGGTTCTTTGTAATTTTTTTTTTGCATGCTATTTTTTTTTTCCCACGTAACACAATGGACCACACAACTTTTTTTAAATTTCTTCACAATTGATGATCATGGTGCTTTACAAAATCATGATCTCCCTGCCATGAATCCTGTCTATGAGGCTTAGGCAGGTGGTCTTGAGCCTCTAATCGCATGGCAGGTGCTCATTCCTTCACAAGGTGGCCCATCCCATGGCTGAGCAGCTCCAAGTGTGCTCAAGAACTTTCAAGATTGAGTCAAAATGGCCCACCCACATTACACTTTCCACCCACGAGTTCCACCGTCAGGGGCCACACAAAACACATCCCCTCCTGTTTCAAGGGACTCATGGTGAATTTTCAGAGGTCCAATCTACTTCCTGCCTGCTGCTCTCCCATGGAGACATTCTTGGTTTCTCCAACCAACCCTTCTAGAAGTCCAAGCTGTGATAGACCTTAGTGAACATTAAGTCTAACTTCATTTTACAAGTGAAGAAACTGAGGTCCAAGGAGGAGGCTGAGTTGCTTTAGGCCATATAGTAGGTTGAAGGTGGAGCCAAAACCAGAACCCAGTGCCAGGGGGCCTGGCCCTCATAATTCCCAGCATTGGTGAGCTTCACAAGGTAGCTGCTGTGTCTGTCTTGTTCCCCAGCATCTCCCTGGCACCCAGTGTAGTGTGTGGCACAGGGAGAGGGCAATCGGAAAATGTCTGTTGAATGAATGAATGAACAAATAGCGGTCCTTACATCTTAGAAGTAATCTCTTAGCCCTTAGAAGGGCTGAGGATGGGATTGGGGCTTGCATATGATGAGCACCCAGGTGGTGCCGGGCTGAATGAGGTAGGCCACTCCCACTTTACATTCAGTAAGTCTCAGCTAGAGACACACTGCTTGCTTGTGATGTGCATGGTTCTATTGATTGATGATAACACTTCAGTGCAGCATGTGACTTTGGGAAGGTCACAGGCCATGTGCAGCCCAGAGGAGGAACAATCAGGGTCACCTCTTCCCAGCGCTCCAAGGAGAGCCAGCATTGTGCTACAGCTAACTGGCACCAGCCGGCCAGAGCCCATTTCACGTATCTCTTTCCAATTTGGTGACATCACGCTGGTAGTTTGAAACTGGTCATGATGGGAATATTTACACCATGGATATCAGCACACACTATCAATGAGGTGAGACCTCTTTTCCTTTTCGAGAGTGGGTTTACCAGCACACTACTGGAAGTAACTACGGACACGGGCTGCATAACAGCATTTTAGTCAACAACAAACTGTACATATGATGATGGTCCTGTAAAATTCTAACGGGGCTGATAAACGCCAATCACACGGTGACGTCATAGCCGTCATAATGTGCAATTACTTTATTTACTTTGACAGATTTAGTGTAGCCTAAGTGTACAATGTTTATAAAGCCTGCACCAGTGTACAGCAGTGTCCCAGGGCTTCACGTTCACTCACCACTCACTGACCCATCCAGAGCAACCTCCAGTCCTGCAAGCTCTGTTCACGGTCCGTGCCCTACAGGGGTCCTGCTGTTTACCTTTGACACAGCCAGGAAGCCAATTCCAGTCCCAGCTCTGTCCTAACTCACCAGCAAACTCATGGAAGCCTCAGCTCACAGCTTTCCCATCTGTAAATTGGGATCTCCATGCAAACATCACCCCCAGGGAATCTGTGAAGGTAATTTTTGTGGATGCTAATACTCTTTTAAAAGATACCTTTTCTATGTGTAGATAGGTTTAGATACATAAATGCTTACCTTTGTGTATCTAAACCTATGTACACATAGAAAAAGTACAGTAAAAATACAGTACTCAGTACAGTAACATGCTGTATGTGTGTCGCCTAGGAGCACTAGGCTGTACCAGATGGCCTAGGTGTGTGGTAGGCTATACTGGCCAGGTTTGTGTAAGTACACTCTAATGGAGGGGTCTCCACTGCGCATGCTGCTGGGTGACAGAATTGCCTAAGAATGCATTTCTCAGGACGCATCCCTGTTAAATGTTGCATGGCTATAAGAGTAAATAAAGAGGGCTGGGCGCGGTGACTCATGCCTGTAATCCCAGCACTTTGGGAGGCCGAGGCGGGTGGATCACGAGGTCAGGAGATCAAGACCATCCTGGTCAACATAGTGAAACCCCATCTCTACTAAAAATACAAAAAATTAGCTGGGCACGGTGGCGCGTGCCTGTAATCCCAGCTACTCAGGAGGCTGAGGCAGGAGAATTGCCTGAACCCAGGAGGCGGAGGTTGCGGTGAGCCGAGATTGTGCCATTGCACTCCAGCCTGGGTAACAAGAGCAAAACTCTGTCTCAAAAAAAAAAAAAAAAGAGTAAATAAAGAATTGAGCTGGGGAAGAATAATGAGCACTTTTCTTTCCTTTGAATGAAGCCTCATTCTCCATTCATTGTGCTGTCCTCCATGTGTCCCTGGGGACATTGAGGCTGGCCCTAAAACCAAGGCCAGTTTGTCAGCCCCAGGGTATGGGTGGGCCATGTTCATCTCCATGTCACCTTCCCTGGCCCAGCCTGAATCCACATCAGTGTAGCCAACCTTTGCTGGTGCG